GCCTCAGTGTACAACTTATAAATCATAACCATAATGAATATTGTAAAGAACAAAGCACAATACGCAAAATTTTGCTCAATTCCAATGGTTTGAATGAGGGCCGGATTTTTCCTTCATGGAGGGGCAAAAGCTAGGCTACCATTTTGGCACACTTTGGTCAAGTGAAAAGGTCAAATCCTCCGAATGGACTTTCGGGTTAAATTTGGGGTATAAAAAGTGTGTATACTACGTGGCTGAGTCAAAGTTACACTATCTTTGCCTGAGTGACACTCTCTCGTACTGTCTCGTAGTAGTACATGTAGGCTAGTAGGCCTAGTAGTAGTAGTAGCAAAGATCGTGTAGAGAATATTTGGTAGTAGATTCTATCTAGTAGGCAGTTTAGTGAACGTGCTCGCGGCAGGGCGAATCGGCCTCGATAAGCCCCGTAGACTTTTGTGATCGGCCACGAAGCCTCGTGTTTTGATGGGTCTAGATCTAGATCTAGATCTAAACAACTCAGTGCTATTCGCACTGCCACATCCGACAGGTCTAGATCTACATCTTCTTAAAAGGAAAAGAAAGATCATCAAAATGGTTGAATTCGCATGAAAATCGATTAGGTAGAACTAGAACTATTAAAACTTGCTTCTGAAAACAAGGCAATTTTTATACGAAGGCCATTTTTATAACTCGATGAAATAAAAACTACTGACTGTGTACTGTGTTATTCTGTATAAAAATAAATTATGAAACTTCAGGACGTAGATCTATTATTATTTACCAGCATCTTTTGACGCCTGAGCTGTAGAGGTTGAAGTTTTCACAACACTAATAGATCTAGTAATAGGGTTAGGTAATACGGCTTTCCGTAAAAAATGCATAGATCTACAAAAGCCGACCACCGAATCGACCGGGCGCCTCGGACTCCCCTGCACTCTGATTCAATATTATATTTAAACAAAAATGCTAATCAATGAAAATTGCAAATTGATAATAATAGTATAGTCCTGTAGAGGATAGGTGGACTCCGGGGTCTGCATAGCGAAATACTAGGTTTTAGGATGTGGACCCCGGAGTCACCGTAGTGAAATAAGATTTGGTTTAAGTAAGGATTGGTACTAGGTTTTAGGACAGGTGGACCCTGGGTCACCGCAGTGAAATAAGTAGGTTTCTTTAAAGATTGGTGGAACCCGGAGTCACCAAGGCCATAGAGGATTAAGAAGGTTTAATTAAGGATTGGTGGACCCCCGGGAAACCTTGATTAAACCTACTTATTTTACTACGGTGACCGCAGGATCCACCTATTCTAAAACCTAACTAGTGTTTCGTTAGGTAGACCCTGGGGTTCACCTTAAACCTACCTATTTCACTACGTTGACTCCAGGGTCCACCAATCCTTAAAATTAAACCTAGATCTATCTACATGTACTTATTTCACTACATTGACCCCAGGGTCCACCAATCCTTAATTAAACCTAGATCTACTGATTTCACTACATAGACCCCGTGGTCCTCCAATCCTTAATTAAACCTATATCTACTTATAATTTCACTACTTTGACCACGGGCTCCGCCAGTCCTATTATAAAATAAACTTAGATCTACTTATTACATTATGTTGACCCCGGGGTCCACCGATCCTTAGTTAAACCTAGATCTACTTATTTCACTACGCTGACTCCGGGGTTCACATCCTAAAACCTAACATTTTGTTAGGTAGACCCCGGGGTCCACCTATCCTTTTGGCTAGATAGACCCCGTAGTCCGCCTATCCACTTTCTTGATAATAACTGAAAACAATACATGCCAGTTGTCATTTATAGTGAAGAAAAATGAGGGGAAAAAATATAATTAGGTAGACTTTAATTTGTCCAAAAAATTGCAAGTGCAAGTGAAGATCATAAAATAATTTTGTTATTTTCTGGTCACCTTTCCAAGGACCTTAAATTGATTCTACATCACATGTCATGTACGATACGGCTGTGAAGGAAAATGGATGTGAAGAGTTTTAAAGAGATAATAATGTAACTTGTAAAGAAACCAATGCTTTACATTGGTTTGGTTATTTTGACTACATATGTGGCCTAAATAAGGTAAGGGAGGGGGGTTTAGCTTATTTAGGCCACAGGTGTGGCCTAAATAAGGTAAAGGAGGGGGGTTTAGCTTATTCAGGCCACAGGTGTGGCCTACATAAGGTAAAGGAGGGGGGGTTTAGCTTATTTAGGCCACCTGTGGCCCATATTTAGGCCATATGTGGCCTAAATAAGGTCACCCAATATAATATGTGTCCTTGAAAACACATCACAGCTTATCATGTGCTAGTTTGTGTAAAAGAATAATTACTGTTTCTCTCAAGTGTGCTGTCTCTCCTTTAAAGCTTATTGTCAGGCAGTTGTCGAAATGTATTACACTCATAATTTTGAAATGTATTTTTTCATTGCAGTTTCTTAATCGGTGATACCGGTTACACGAATTCAAGATATATTTCGTCAAAATTCAAAATCTAAAGTTTTAAAAAGCAAGAAAAGATACATAAAGTAGGTACAATTGTTAAAAGAATTAAGTCTTTTTTTCTCTCTTCTAAAAACTTTTGCTTTCTTGGCTTTGTACATTTGAAACCTTTGCCAGAGATATCAAGGAAGTTGAGATCTGAAGGGAGGGATGTAGTTCTTAAGCAATCTACTTCCTCTATGCCTGCCACCCACACAAAGCTGTATCAAGCATACTGTTTTTAGATCATCTGTCACACATTAGAGTACATGTACGCTACTCTAAAAAGGTATGGGTGGATGTGGTATTCTAACTTTCAGCAGACAGCATCATTTTTTAAACTTTATATTTTAGCCCAATAGTTTTACATCAGCAGATGTTCAGTTTTAGTAAGAGTTTTATGGCACTTGCAACATAAATAAAAATAGCTCTTACAAGTCCCAGAGATTTGAGGTGTTACCACAACATGCATAGAATAAGAGAAGAGATATGGACGATAGATCATTAGATGTTTGAAAGGAGAGAAGGAGCAAACTACACCAGAGCGTCTGCCAACCACCCATGCATCAGCAGACAAATCCGTACGTTAGTTTTAGTACAGAAAAGTACATCCACACAATAATGATCAAATAGTGCAGGGAAAGAATAAAACGTAGGACCTATCAGTGGTAGGCTGATCCTCTGACCATCTGCAAAGAATCCTTATTTGGTAGGCAAGAATGTAAGATGTGTCTGGAACTTATTACAATGATTCTTTACCCCTAACACACAGCATCCCTGTTCTGATATTGAGGAAAGTCATAACCCTGCGGGAAATGTGACAGACCAACATTCCGTTTGTTTTAGGTTAGTTGTAGTAAGGTGTTCGCAACTGCATAAGAAGGTCATATGAGCACCAAAGGGTGGATGTCAACAGAGAAGTCCAAACGGGGAATCAGGCTTACTCTGCTCACCTCTCTAGCCTCAACAGCACAAAGTCTGCTTCGACTGTCAAGGAACCCCTGAAATAGCAGTTCACAAGAGAGTGACAAACATACAAAAGAAGTAGAAAAAAAATGATGATAGTAAGGATGAGGAAAGAAAAAGCAGCAGTTCCCCCTATGTTGCTCCAGCACAATATGATGAGCATGACATTGATAAATCAGCCCATTTACAATTCTACTACTGTGCATAAGAACATGTTAATATCCCCCCTTTGGGAATGGCCTAAAGTCAACTTCAGTCAGTAGTAGTTCCCTGGTGGGGGGGGGGGAGGCTGGAAATGTGACAGACCATTCTGTTTCCCTTCACATGAGAACGATCAACAGTTACATTACACACTCCAGAAAAATGTGTTACACTTTCCCCCTTACAAAATCCAAAACTCAATTGCATGTAATTCTTCCAAATTTTCCAATCGTTTTATCAAGTTTGAAAGCAACCTGGCCATCCAGTGCGAAGCACTATTCAAAACTGTACCGTTACATTTCAGACCTGAAAATGAGAGCCCATGTGTAAACGTTTTTTTTTTGCTACCACAACAGACAAAGAAAAACGAGGGTACCAATTAAAAGGCCTGTGAACATTCAATGACAACTGAGGGAGTCCCAAAGAAACAATTCATTGGCAAAAAGAGAGAGAAAGGGAAAGGAAGAGAGGGACAGAGAGAGGGAGGGGGAGGAAGAGCTGCCTTGGCAAGTTAAGATATAATAGACAAATATAATTGCATACAGTATAACATTATATAAGCATATAATATATATATATATATATATATATATATAAAGTGCATGTCAAGCTTGCACAAGCCCAACTTATCCCCAATGAGCTTGTCACTTTTCATAATCTCTCAACTGGTAGAAACAAAATTTACATTTAACAGATCATAACATTAAATATTAACATATATTCTACATTACGAAAGATGAAAATTGGGGACACAGTCTCTCAAACAAGTTCAAAGTAACTTAGAGTTACAATACACAGATCAAAGGTAAAATGTAAAATATTTTCATACATGCATTCCGAGATGACAATTCTTATTTAAAAATCTATCAAGTCAACAAAAAGAAAAAACTCAGCACAACCACCCTACAACATACAGAACAGTAACAGCACATCTTATTTCATTATGAATTCTTTCAGAATGCGCAGCCAATAAATAACCATAAACTTTTCTTTCAAAATCTGATGTATAAGTAGCCTACAATACTCATGGATGCAGCTTGTCACGTCTTGTCTCAAGTTGAGCACAAACAAAGTGGGCCATTCCATGTTAAGTGTGCTATCATAGTGGTGCTATTTTAGAGTACACCAAAGTGTCTGGATACCTTTCGATTAATTTCAAATTAAGTTAAGGGTTGAAATGTAGAAGAAGGTTGCCTCTAACAAAACAAACATCCTCCCCCCCCAAAAAAAAAAACC